GGCCAAACGGCAATTTTAGCTGAGACGTCCCACCAAAAATCGGCGCGAACGGGCTCGTGATATCAGCCAGGGTGGCTCCCCCTTGGGGCTCCCAAATGATGCCCCTGGCAGCGTTTTGTGATCATGAGAGAGTGTGAGTGAAATCTCTTATCTTGTCTTAGCTTATCTTATATCAACTCATCTTATCGCATCATATATTGTCTTATCTTATTTCTCCATAGGCTGTCTTATCTTATCTATTATCCGACCTTGTCATATATCTTATCTTACCTTATCATATCTTGTGCTATCTTATCTCATCTTGTAGTATCTTATCTTGTCTTGTCTTATCTGGTGATTATCATTGGGAGGAGGGAGGCGCGAGCGGGAGGAAGGAGGAGCAGTGGGAGGCGTCAGAGTAATTATTCACTGCGTGGGGATCCCCATATGTGCATCTCCTTGCTGGCGCTCCCTTGGTGGTGGGACTCGGTGAGGACGAATCTGGATTTAAGTGTGACTGAGCTGCCTCTCTCTCTGCTCTCTCTGCTCTCTCTGTCTCTCTCTCTTTCTCTGCCCTCTCTCTGTCTCTGCCTCTCTTTCCCTGCCTCTCTCTCTCTCTCTGCCTCTCTCTCTGCCTCTGTCTCTCTGCCTCTCTCTCTCTCTGCCTCTCTCTCTGTGCCTCTCTCTCTCTGCCTCTATCTCTGCCTCTCTCTCTCTCTCTCTCTCTCTCTCTCCTCTCTCTCTTCTCTCTCTTCTCTCTCTGCTCTCTCCTCTCTCTCTCACTCTCCCTCTCTCTCTCTCTCTCTCTCTCTCGCTCTCTCTCTTCTCTTCTCTTCTCTTCTCTTCTCTTCTCTTCTCTTCTCTCTCTCTCTCTCTCTATCTCTCTCTCTCTCTCTTTCTCTCTCTATCTCTCTCTCTCTCTCTTCCCTCGCTCTCTCTCTCTCTCTTCTTCTCTCTCTCTCTCTTTCGCTCTCTCGCTCTCTCTTGCTCTCTCTCGCTCTCTGTCGCTCTCTCTCGCTCTCTCTCTCTCTCTCTCGCTCTCACTCGCTCTCTCTCGCTCTCTCTCGCTCTCCCTCGCTCTCTCCCGCTCTCTCTCTCTCTCTCTCTCTCTCTGCTCTCTCTCTCTCTCTCTCTCTCGTCTCTCGCTCTCTCTCTCTCTCTCTCTCTCTCTCTCTCTCTCTCTCTATCTCTCTCTCTCTCTCTCTCTCTCTCTCTCTCTCTCTCTCTCTCTCTCTCTCTCTCTCTCTCTCTCTCTCTCTCTCTCTCTAGTCTCGGCTCGAGAGTGCCCTGCACTCAGACCGCAGCCGCGACGCGAAGCGCCCCGCCTCGGAGTCAGACTCCCAGGCCTCGCGAGACCGGAGGGGCCCCAGCAGGACCCTACTGATTCGCGTCACCTCTCCACACCAGAGTGCCCGCAGCAATGGCCCCCAAGAAGCCGGAGCGCCGTCGCTCTTCTAAGCAGCCTCCGAGCTCCCGCCCCACGCGCCCTGCTGCTGAAGGGTCCCTCCTTCAACGCAAGCAGGACTGCATCGCAGCGTTCAAGCAAGCGGGGTCTGACCGCCCCACGGCCGCCTACAACGGGCTTGCCGAACTGGACGCGGACGAGCCCCAGGCAATGTACGACATGCACAAGTCCAACACGAAGAAGCTTGGCAGCGCCCTGATCCGCATGTGCGCCGCCAACCAGATTAAGCTACACGCTCGATCATCACCAGCGCAGCAAGCCTAAGCGCACTGGCGGTGACACATCACACCCACCAGCGGGTTCCGCACGTCTTCAGGCTGCGGACACCCAATTCATCGCCTTGGACCCTGCCTTTTGGAAGGTCCCTGTCCTTGCCGAACCCACCTCACCTGACGACGGCAAGACGTACAAGCCCAGCATCAGCCTCCACGACTACGAGAGTGGTGAACGGCTGCTGCAACACCACCTCGAGCAGGGCAAGCGAGCCACGGGTCAGCTCGCGATTGCTGTCATGGGCCCGAAAAACGACAACTACGTCGGTACCGAGCTCGCCGTCCCCGTCCTGAAGCGTCACCCCAAGGCGCCCAAAGTGGTCCACACGCACGTCCCCGTGACCGTGTACCAGCTGGGCACCAAGGAGGTCGCCTGCACGGAAAAGGTAGCCGTCGCCACCATCGACCCTGCCGACCACGTCTGCTGGATTCGGGCGACCATACACGAGACCGAGGCCATTGCCGCAGTCCCCTCCATGCACCAGGCCTTCGAGGACCAGTTCTCGGGAGGTGCCCCCGTGAACGGTGGTCCACGCGCCAAGGGCCCTTTTCGAGGGGACTCCGCTCCACAGGACAAGGCGCGCCAAAACCAAAAGCACAGGGAGTCCAAGAAAGACGCTCGCCGCCAGGAGCTCGATAGTCAGCTTCAGGACACCTTCAAGGCCCTCTTCCACGGCAACTTTAAAGCCGTCACCATCCTCGAACCCTGCAAAAGCCTAGGCAGGTTTGGATCGGGCGTCGGAAAGAGGTCCCTGGCTGCCACCTTCGGCGTCAGTCTCCAAGCGGTCGACAAGGTCCTGGCGGGATCAGGGCAACTCGGTGCCACCTACGACCTCAGCAACGTAGGTGCAGACGAACCCACCGCCGACAAGTATCAGACCGTTTGGTTCCCTGAGGACCAGCCCATCACGATGGCAGACGCGTTCCAGAAGTCGGTGGAGTTCAAGGCCCTGGGAGTCGTCAGGCACGGCAAGTCAGGCCTACTGGGGATCCGTGTTCCACGGGGGTCCGACGTCGCCAAGGCTGCTGCTGTCAGCATCCGTGGCTGCGAGGCTACCCTCGCCAAGACGCGCTACCGCATCACTGGCATTGCGGCACGCCACGCCACGCTGACCCAGCTCGCCAAGACTCTCACGGGCCCGTCCGTTAAATGGGACTGTGAGGTCTACCACACCGCCTGGGACCCAGCCACTGCGGCCCAGTTTGCCTTAGTGCGCGCTCATCGGCCCCCACTCACCTATACGGTGCAGGTCGCGGGGTGCCCCATCCCGTGGAGCATCACCGAGGCCCCGCTGGCTGAGGTGGCGCCGAAGCGGGACAACGTTACCATCGTCACGCCTACCACCATCACAGAGCCTGTGACGCCGCCAGCCGGTGGTGGCGGCTTTAGCCCCGCCACCGGCACACTCCTCACCAAAGCGGCCCAGAGCCCCTACCTCCACGACCTCATGACTGC